GACACGAACCCAAAAGCCTTCGGCTGAACCAAAAAGCTATCCCAGAATTAGTTTTTATCGAACAGACACGAACCCAAAAGCTATCCCAGAATGATCGTCTTGATTGTTGGACATAAGTACGAGTTTTTATCGAAAGAACACGAACCCAAAAGTCTTCCTGGACAGATGGAACCTATTCGACGTACAGTTGTACGACATACCGGAAGGTTGGAAAAGATTCCTCCTGTTTATGGCTCACGTCCATCTGGCAAACCTCGTCTCATTCTTTTTTCACAACCAGAAGGACCCTGCGAATTCTGAGCATACGGTTGAAAACTTCGTGTAACTATGAAAGAAAGAAGTCGGATGGTCCGTCGGATTGTGGAGAAATACAGGGACGATCATCATTGAAGATTTTACCAAGAACCTTTGCTACTAGACCCGTTACTGGAATGGAACCAGCAGGCGCAGCTTAACACATAAAATGAAGCATATTCGCAGTCCCGGGAACTCCAAGAAACTATTACTACCAGAATTTCTACCAGAATTGCTACCATCTTGCGACTAAAATTGCTACCATCTGGTAGCAAAACGGTAGCAATATGGTAGCAAGATGGTAGCAATTCTAGTCGAAATCTGGTAGCTACCATTTTACCATAAATATTTTCTATAATAATTAGATTCTCTTAGCCCCCATATTCGTTTGAATGAGTCATACTTAAGAGGGGGCTGGGATATTAAAAAAAATTCTGGTAGCGCGGCATATATTTTGGTAGCGTTTTTGGTAGCAATCTGGTAGCATTGATGGTAGCAATCTGGTAGCAAGATGGTAGCAATTCTAGTCGGATTTTGGTATCTGGTAAAGAATACCGGATTGCTACCATAAATCCTACCAGATTGTGGTAACTGTTCTGGTAACGCCAGCAAGTTACCATTCTTATTGCCAGACTATTGCCTGGTAGCGTGCCCGGCGTGGTGAAATAGTCAATGATGATCGTCCCAGGTTCAAAAAAAGGGACGTATCAAATTTCATGCTTGAAATTCGTTTCCCACTTAGTAGTAAGAGAAAAAATGGAGAACCGGGTGAGAAAGAGATGGCTCGCGCGAAAAAGGACAGACGTGGGGTGCACGATCTACGGCAGGGGTCATAAATTCAGACCCCTGGTACTGGGTACTGTATGGCAACGGAAAAAAGAACATCAACGAAGAATAAGACTGCCTCACTCGACAACAGTGACAGACACGAAATAAACACGAAACGAAGCGGAAGTTCTCGTCAAAATCAATCTAATCAATCTAACGCACGACACGCCAACCATCAAGCACAAACCACATTGCGACAACGTTGTGTCTGACCAAGATCACTCACAAATCGCCAGTTAGTTAATTAGTCAGTCAGTCAGTTACTTCGTAAGGAAGGATCGACCAATACATTTATCGAAAGAGAAAAATAGCAGCGAGAAGAGAGAGAAAACCATGGCAAATTTTGGAGACCTCGTTCTGGTTCTGGGCGATCTTCACATYCCCGAGAGAGCAAACGCGATTCCAGAGAAWTTCAAAAAGTGAGTGTGCGTGGTCTTTCCTTTTTKCTTGTTGTGYAAATTGTTCTCGCTTTTGCCAATGCCGCTGCTGCATTTCAGAACAATTGCGACGGCTGAAAACGGTATCTTTTCTCCGACTGCCGGAGCAGCGCAGTATCTTGGATTGCTCCGTCTCTCCTGTTCCCATGCATCGAAAGCTGTTCTCAGCCTCTCRCCGCTTCTGTTGCTCTGTTCCGTACCAACTTCATCACGTGTTGTGTTCTCTCATTTGGTTTCGTTTCGTTACCTTCCTTCTAGGATGCTCGTCCCCAACAAGATGCAGCACGTCATCTGCACGGGAAACATCGGCATGGAACAGTATCGSGAGCTCTGCGCGCTCGTCCCGGGCCCAAACCATTTCCACGCCGTCAAGGGTGATTCGGACGGGGCCGATCTCTTCGGCCTCAACCTCCCCGAGGCCAGGGTCGTCCGGGTCGGGGRGTTTTCGATCGGCGTCGTCCACGGYCACCAGCTGCTCCCCTCGGCGGGGTCGGGGGACGCCCGGTCCCGGATGCGTCGGAAGCTCGGCGTCGACGTCCTGATCACGGGTCACACCCACAGGAATGAGGTGTTCTCAGAGGACGGGTGCTACTACATTAATCCGGTGGGTACCACAGCCGAAGCAGAAGCCCGCTCAAGGAGCCCCGCTCGTTGCTGGTGGAGGGATTGTCGTGCGTTTGTGCCTTGTCGTCAAATTTTTCTGCGTTTCTAACCTCGTGCTGATCCGCATCGTGCTTGCGAACTACTGTATCTATCAAAATCCACCCATTTACCAGGGATCCATCACCGGGGCCTGCTCGGCGACGACCCCGGACGCGKCYCCGTCCTTTGTCCTGCTGGCGGTCCAGGGCGCCAAGCTAGTGTGCTACGTCTACGAGATCGGCGCCGACGGGGAGGTGGATGTGAGCAAGACGGAGTTCTCCAAGCCCGTCCGGGCGGTCGCCCCCTCCTCTCTCCCTGCTGGATCCGGCCACCCCGCCCTCCTGCAGTCCCTCCTGGCGTAGCACCGGGGGGCTGGGCTCCGCGGAACGCAACGCAATGCAAATGAAGACAACGCAAACAACACAGAGGCACGAAATGATGCTAGTGAAGGACACGGATCTGTGGTTCGGAGTGTGCACACGGAGACCCTCRCGGGAAGAGGAGCGTCGYTTGCGGATGCGTTCGGCGTTCCGTTGCGTGGCRAAATCGTGGGATGGGAATCCACGAGAACAATAGYCTTCCAGCAGGGSCCCATASGGGCCTTAATCACCTCTTTTYAGAGGGTTGTAGGGGAACAAAAAATCAACTAACATACCAAACCAATAACAGAATTGTAATTTACGTAAAAAATTTAGAAAAATGATTTCAGCAGGTCATTCCTTACCTTTTCCGTGAGTTTCGACCTGTCCAATATTTCTATAACTTTGCCACTTTGTTTCCGACACTACGTATCGTTGCTCCTTGTTTCAAAATGGTATGAGTAGGGATCTATGTCAATCATTTCCGAGATGTAGAACCGGTTGCCGCTATGTCTCCAAGTCAGACGATTACATGGAAAGTAAGGAAACTTCAACACCTGAAAATCATGCTGGTGAGACTCACCTTTGTTGACTTGTCAAACCTGAGGGAACTTTCAGAAAACAATACAATATCTACACAGTGTGGTTGTGAATTCCAGTTGTACTCTTCATTTGAATAGCCTCAGTCAACGATCAACTAGCATTTTGCTGGGACGCACTTAGACCTCTCATAATTTCGATGGTTTTGGTAAACATTGGTCATATGCTTTTGGTAGATATTGGTCACAGGGAACTTTCAGAAGACATGATGTGAAGATGAAGACTCACCCCAACACATCAAGCTCATAAAGGCCTTGGCACGAAGCTCACTACAAACACCAAGAGAATCTGGTGAAGTCATAACAAATCACTGCCAAACAGAAGGTATAGCAACCAGTATGCCACTCTGCCATGTCAACAGGCACATAACACTCCCACCATGATCCAAATGCCAAACTAGAATGCTCACCACAGCAAACAAATCAACCAAAGCACTCCCACCATGCAACCATCCCACACCCCACCACACCACCAGCACACCAGTGCAAACAATACACCACTAAACAAGCACCCAGCACAAACAATGACAATCACTAAATAGATTGAAAAATTCACCAAAGGAACAAACAACGGACGGRACCAGCCCCACCAATCTGCAACCACAACYGACCAACCAACTTACACCCCAGCACCCTGACACCCCTATCAAGAAATAGCATAAAAAACAAACAACAACAACAAAAACAATGACAAAAATCAACCACGAACAAATGCTCACAAAGAAAAATTTGTACAACCCAAAAYTCCCTAAGCTAACAATTGACAATATGCCAACCCTCGCCCTTGCCCCTGCAGTCCGCAACCCACTCGTCACCATCCTGWAGGATCACCCACAACCACCACCCAAGAACCAAGCCTCATGGAACACCCAGGACAYGTGTACTAAGCAATCCTTGACATTTCTTTGGCATCTGCAAGTCCCCATGATGCCAACGCACCCACGAYGCCAAACAGACCTCCGTGGACCATGCACCCATGCTCAGAGCCACTTTGCAGCAGCAAACAGTATAGCAAATGACCCAGGGGGCAAGTCCTCCACTGTCACCACCACATAGAGCACCCCATGCCCACCTCACCCTAGACTGTCCCCCATGTCAAACAATGCTGCTGCCACCCTGCCACCCTCCCCAGGAGCATAATCACCAAGAACCCACTGCCTCTGCACTCACCCACCAGACAACTATGACAACCTTATGCCACACCAAGGTGAGCCCCCCCTTCAGTACCCTTGCAAATGTGTTTGCAAACATCCAGCTGYMCCACTCCTCCAACTACTGGCTGCCCTATAAACTGAGGTATGGCTGAAATAAAAGCTGCCATCCACCAAAGTGCACACCCCAGCGCAGCCACAGCCTGCCACGACAAAGCCCTAGCATGGGTCCCAGACAGCTACTGCCACATAGTAGATTGGRCAGACATAGAACACAACCACCCCAAAAATCTCAAAGTCAGCCACATTGCCACAATACCTCACAAATCCAGGGCATATAGRATGATCCTCAACCTCTCTTTCCAGCTGACCCTCCCAACCCAMACCATCCCATTGGTCAATGCATCATCAGACAAGACCCTGGAGAACTTGGCCACGCTGTACCCCAACTAATCCACAAAATGGCCTGCATACCCCCCAACATACCCTTCCTCTTCTCCAAGCTTGACCTCAAAGACGGCTACTGGCAAATGGTAATCAGTAAGAACAACACCGGGAATTTTGCATACGTCCTGCCATCCACAGAACCCACAGACCCACCCTAACTATTCATCCCACACTCCCTACAAATGGGATGGAGGGAAAGCCCCCCTTCTTCTGCGCTGCCACCARGACCCCGGGCAACTTTGCTGAAACACCCCTGAAAAACCACCTCCTGCTCCCGCCACACCCAATGGAACAAACCATCAAGGATTTCCCCCAGCAAGACCTACTGCTAGACCACCCTGAAACAACCATCTCCACAAACCTTGAAGTTTACATAGACGACTTCATCACAATGGTCTGCCAGTCTAATGACTCCACCCACTTCAGGCAAGTTGCTAGGCACCTCCTCCATGCAATTGACATCTCAGGAAATACCAGCACCTTTGGAACCTTTGGGCCAATTGGATAGAAACTCACTTCCCTGCCATTGGACCCTACCTCAACACCCCTACCAAATGACCATGCTGGTTGCCTATGCTCATGATGTACAGTCTTGCAGAGTCACCAGAAGCCCAGAGAAGATTCATGCCCAGATGGTCAAGAATGTGCTCAGGGCCAAAGCCTACTAGTAGGACTACTGCAAGAACCTACCCTGAAGYCATTAAGCAACTTTTGGCTGGCTATTAACACTGTGACCTCCCACTTGCACTCCCCCACTACCTCCTCTGACCCAGCAATAACCTGCCGTGCTCAAAAACAAAAACAATAGGAGAAACAGCATTGATAGTGTTTTTCTTCCTCCTATGCATGGGTTAATACACYATGCCAAACTCCCAAAATGCCCCCCAGACCATGCCACTCACCAATTGGGGATGTCACACTATGGCACCACACAATGTGCAGTGATGCACAAMTTGCACTKGTCACACTCCTCTCCAAATGCACCGCCCTTGCCACTTGGTGCCTTGGAAACACCACCAATGATCAAACCACAGAGTTCTTTGTCAGCACCAAAGACTGCCACTACAGATTTGATCACTGCCAGACCCCAGACCCATCACCCTTACCACAGTTCCCCAGGGCATGGAATGACACTTTTGAGGCATGCCCCCTCCCTTCTTCCCTCACCCTCAACCACCTCATTGTACCCAACTACTTCAGATGGTKGGGCAAAATCTCCACCAACCTTGCCAACTGCAGGTTGCATGCCAAGCCATCAACAACAACAGCAACAGCAAATCCACCGTCCCACATGAAGTCTACCACCACACCACTGTAGCTCTGTACTACGCYCCCACCACCTCCTKGTCACATCCAATCTGCCTATCACATTGGGGATCTCCTCAGATTCCACCTTGAATCCCTGGCAGCCAACACCACAGAACTCATGCTAAGCAAGCTTGGCAACAAACTATTCACTGTATGRCACAATAGCCACCRACCCAGCCAGTATGAATGCTGCAAGCACCTCCGCATCCTTGCTGCCAACAAAATCCCCCTACACACCAGCTGCTTCCAACAGTGACAGCATTTCCACCTGCACTGATACCAGGAATTAGGACTGACACCCCACATTCCCCAGTACTGCTGAAACACAATGGGCCTACCACCAAACAAGTTGGTGCTTCAATGGAGACAGCAAGTGTAGACTAATTATGAGCACGTTTGTACATTTGGCAGAAGTTGATGAAGTTCTGGCAGAGGAGGTTTGATTGTTGAAGAATAGGACAATGCTCAACGGTGTGTTGAGAGGACTGTCCAGTCATCATATTATACACAAGACATGTGCAATTGAA